CCACGCCCCGCTGCCGCGGAGGCCGGTTCTGAGAAGCCGTGGGAAAAGCAGCTTTAAAAATACCAGCAGCAAAGCCCCGAGCGTGTCAGGCGGAGGCTGCAGAGGAAGGGGTGGGCGGGAAGGAGACGCTGCAGCTCTGGACACGGAGGTTACGGGGCAAGGGGGCGGGAGAGGACGGCGGGTGCGCACATGGACACGCGTGTGCACACGCGTGTGCGCGCACAGAGCGCCCGGCCGAGGGAAGGTGTCGCTCCAGCCCCCATCCTGCCAGAGTTTTTCTTCCCATAGCAGCCCGGATGGCCTAATGCCAGTCTGGCAGCCCCGTCCTCACCGCTTGGTCCCATCCCAGCTCTGGCCACCTCTGGCCCTTGCATGGAGTCCTCCAGGGCTGCTGGGCCACCCCAGCCCTGCTGCTGCTCTCTGAGGCACTGGAGGGGGTACATTTCAGACAGAGACCCCCAAGACCACCTCCGGGCACCACTCACCAAAGTGTGGGAAGGGGTCCCAGCGGGGTCCTGCTCCCACTGGGCTCTTTCACAGCCCCATCCCAGCTCCTGCCCTGCACCCAGGTGTACCCGGGGGAGCCCCACGCAGCTCCCCGGGGCCCCCTGACGTCAGCCGGCCCCACGGCCGCCTCCCGCTCCCTCTGACTCACCCCTGCCCTGCCTGACCCCTCGCCAGCGCCGGGAGAAACCAGAGCACCCCAACCCTGCCAGCCCCGCGCTGCCGACGCTTCCCAACAGCACCAACACCCCCCACTCCATCCCCACGCACCGGGGTCCCGCATCCCCCCCGGGGCTGGGCCGTGGCACGGAGCCCGCCCGGTCCCCGCGGCGCCCCAGCCCCGGGGCTCGCAGCACCCGCCCCCACGCCGCTGCCAACCTTCTCCCCTCCCGGCGAAACCAGCCCGCTCCAATGCAAACACGTCCCACCCAGCCGCCCGCTCGGCCGCCCACGCCGGGAGGACCCCGTCCCTCCCAGCCGGCTCCGCCGCGGGGGCCGGGACAGCCTCGCCGGCGGGGCTGGAGCCGCTGAGCCCCCCAAAGCCCCGCACTCAGGGGTCCCCTGGGACTCCGCCGAGCCCCGGGGGGCTCAGCTGCGCTGTACCGGGCTCGGGGCCCGCAGGGATGGGGCAAGTGTCTCCCAGCTGCTTCTCAGAAACGTGGATGACTCAGAGAAGGAACGCGGCATTCCCGCCGTGCTCCGACGCCTGGCCCCGCGTCACCCCGGCCCCCGGCACCGCACACCCCCGAGCCCCCTGCTCCGGGCTGGCAGAGAGGGGGGCTGCCCCCAGCGAGCCCCGGTGGGGAGGGCAGCACCCCCCAAACAGGCACAAGGGAATCGTCCTGGCAGATCCAGTTGGCAAAAGGCAAGGCTAAAGCAAGGATGAGGAGTGGGAGCAGGAAATGCCCCCCGCAAGCCCCTGCAGGGTCTCCAGCTGGGCACAGCTGGGCCCCCACATCCAGCCACCTGTGCTGGTGCCCAGGGGTTTGTCCGTGCCAAGGGGGGCAGAGGGACAGAGCCCCCTGGCCACATTCCCCCAGCCCTGGAAGAGCAGGATGTGTCATCCCCCTCCTCTGTTCCTCCCCCTCAGCCCTGCTGGGTAGAGGGACTGGGGGAAGGAAGAGCCAGCAGTGGGACCCAACGCCTGCTTATCCCTGGAAAGTGGGGGGGCAGCCATGTGGGGAGGAAGGAAGTGCGAGAGCAATTTCCAGGAAGCCCCCGTGCCCAACAGTCACTTCCCCAAAGGCTGGGAAGGGGGTGGCAGCGCCCCGGCCCCCCCTCCCACCCCCAGAGGAAGCGGCTCAGCTCTCCCCGTGCTCCGGAGGCTGCGTGACGCAGGCAGAGCCCAGCAAAGCATGAATGGGAGGAGTGGTTTCCTGCCCCCCCTCCGCCGCCCCCCAGGTGCTGGCGGTTCCTCCTGCTCAGCCCTGGCTTCCTGAATCACCAACCGGAGGAACCTGCGGTGGGCAGGGAGGTGCAGAGCAGCTTCCCGCAGCCGCTGCCAGACCGTAGCCCACCCACCCTCCTTCGCTCACTGTGCTGGGTCTGGAGGGGCCACAGCCCTGTGAAGGAGCCCCACAGGTTCCTGGCTGCCCACACCAGAGAAGAGCTGCTCAGCCCCATCAGAAATACCTGCAGCCCTGAGGCCAGGACGTGCAGAGTGACCTGCCAGGCCAGGCTGCCAGAAGCAGCCCCCCCTCCCACAGCTCTGCACCCCAGCCGGGATGGGCAGCACCTCCATGGGACCCCAGCAGCGTCTGGCACTGGGGATCCACTAGGGCTCCAGTCCAAGCTGACCCCCCCAGCCCCCACATGGGGTTAAACCAGGTCCCAAAAGTCAAGGTCACCCCGGGCAGGCAAGGGCACTCCGGGTGCCTGCAGGCAGGGCAGCGTGGCCCTTGCCACGTCCCGGGGCAAGGGGGGGGCACAGCAGTGCCCCACCAGCCCTGGCACCACATGGTGCTCAGCCCCTTCCCAGAATTCAGCAAGGCAGCTTATAAAAACGCTCAAAAACCCAACCCTTCAAAAACCAAAGCCGGCAGCATCGGCCAGAAAAAGGAAGGAAAGAGTTTCAGAGCAGTCACAGAGACGGAAAACAAAGGAGTGGGGCCTGCATGGCTGGGGGTAAATTCCACCTTCGCGGCAGGAGCTGGCGGCTGTGCGCGCACCCACGGCTCACCCACGGCTCTCCCACCCTGGGAACGCTTCCAGCCCGCAGCTGAGACCCCCCCCAACAGTGAGAACCCCCCCACCCCTCCAACAACTCCACAGCAATTCAACCACAGCCCCACCAACGCCGCCCACTCGGCCCCTTCCACGCCCCTTCCTTGGCACCTGGTGCCCCAGCACAAGGCCACCGAGCAAGGGACAAGGAGAGGGTCAGAACACCCCAGCAGGGCCAATCTGCGCCCCCAAGGATGGCTCCAAGGAAAGAGGGAGGACCCCTTTGGGTGCTGGTGGGGGGAAGCTGGGCTCTACAGCCCCACGAGCTGCCAGCCTGCTTTACATTCCTCACAGCCGTGGGGCAGAGGGGCAGCCCACTCCCTGCACCCCACAGCGGGCAGCTGGAGGGGGCTGCAGCCCCACACCCCCGGGCAGGGCCCTGAGCCGCCCGGCTCTGCCACCAACCCGCGGCGTGACCTTGAGTGAGTCACTTCACCTCCCCGCTCCCGGCTTGTTTGGGCTGCCGGCGTGGGACCTCCCTGAGCCCGGCGCTGCTCCGGGTGACGGTGCCCGCCCCGGGCACCACCCTCAGCACTCCCAGCCCTGCTGGAGGTGAAACCTCAGCGAGGCACCAACGCCAAAGCTTTTGGGAGGGGAAGCAAAGTGAGGCCGCAGCTGTCCTTCCTTCCCCCCCCTCCGCCCTCCGCCTTTGTCTCCATCCTGCCCCGGTATCCAGCCCCTCACCTGAGTTTCAGTTAAGCTTTCCAGAGCTTGCATCACCGACTGTTCTGGCCTGGACGCCTGGGACTGGAAAAAAAAAAGGAGGAGGGGGGGGGATTAACGTTACAAATGCAGTAAAGGAGGGGGCGTCCGCAGCAGGAGGGAGGGATGACATGTCACTTCCACTATTTCTACACAAGCCCTGAGAAAGGAGTGAAATACTAAACCTGCTGCCGTGCCCAACCCAGCGCTGCCTCCTCAGCGAGAGCTGGGGCAGCAAAGCCGCGGGGCTGCCAGCACATCACATCCTCATCCTTGCCCGGGGCTTTAATAATAGACGGGGACGAGTGGGAGGGATGGAGGGAGCAGCAGGAAAAGGCCACTCACCATCAAGCCGGCCTCCACGGTGGGCACCAGTGTCAGCTTGCTGCCTTCCACGACCCCCAGGTCCTGCAGTTTGCCCGAGCTGAGGCGGCTGTGGGAGGAGATGCCAAGAGCAGGGTCAGTGCAGGTCGGGCAGCTCCCTCAGAGGGTACACACCAGAGGGGGACACCAGCTGCAAGTCTGGCTGCTCCCAGGGGACCAACAGCCCCTCAAGCACCCCTAGCTCAAGAAATTCCTAGCGTTCACAGGCAGGAGGGAACCCCGGTACCCCCCAGTTCAGCTGGCCCCCAGGGGAACTCACGGGGCAGTGCCGAGGGGGCCAGAGAGGAGCCGAGCTGCGAGGGGGGTGGGAGCACAGGGTTCGTGGCACAGGCAACCTGCCCACTGGGGGGGCGGCTGGAGAGGAGCTGGGACCAGCGTAGGTGGGGGAGGCAGCACCGGGAACACGCTCCCTCCACCCCGCGGGTGCCGGCAGATGGATGTGGTGTCCCCGTGTGTCCCCTGCTCTTCCTCCAAGTTACTCCCGTCCCGACCCCACGCGGGCCCAGCCCCACGCGGGGGGTGCGCAGCCCCTCGGCCTGGGCCCCCGGCAGACAAAGGCCCCCCCGGCGTTGGGGGCTCAGGGGGAGCCGGGCCGCGCCGCCGCCGGGGCTGAGCCCAGAACAAAGGGCCGGGGCACGGCCGGGCCCCGCCGCCCACAAAGGAGCCCCGGCAGGGCCGGGCGAGGGGGCGGCGGCCGCGCTCCCGGCCCGGCCCGGCGCCCCCCTCCCTCCCTCCCTCCGCCCCGGAGCCCCCCCTCCCTCCTTCCCTCCCTCCGGCCCGGCCCCCGCTCGCCCCCGCCGCGGCCCCCCGGGCTGCCCCCCCCGCCCCGCACAGGAATGGGGCCGGGAAGGGGGAGGGGGCGGGAGCCTTTGTGCGGTGCCGAGCCCGGTGCGAGGGGGCCGCCCCCGCGCCCAGCCCCGCCGTCGAGGGCTGGGGGCTCCGGGCCTCCCGAGCCCCCCCCCCCCGTACCGAGCCGTGCCGTACCTCTCTTTGTGCAGCAGCGCCAGACGCTCCTTGGGCACCTTGAGGCGCTGGGACAGCCGTCGCTTCAGCCCCTCCACCGTCTCCTCGGCGGGCACCGAGAGCTCATAGCGGGTGCCGGTGGTGGTGTGGATGTAGAGGTTCATGGGGGGCTCGGGCGGCCCCACCTCGCAGGCGGGAGCCCCGCGGCTGCAGCTCCTGGCGCCGGGCTGCGGGTCCATCCGCCGACCTGCGGGGGCAGCGGCGGTCGGTGTCGGGGGGCGGCGAGGGGATCGGATAAAGGAGGGAGCCGGTCCCGCTGCACCACACGCCCGGCGGGACCCACCGGGAGCTCCGGTTACGCGGTGAGGCGTCGGGCGGGGGCCGGGAGGAGGCGGGGGACGGCTAGGAGGGGGGTCCCCAAGCAGCGCTACACCGGCCGTGCCCTCCGCAGCCCAGGCGGAAAAAATTATATATATATATATATATAAATATAAAAATAAAAAAAATATAAAACGTCCCGTTCTCGCCCCGCTCCGGTGGCCGCCGCGGGAAGCGAGGGGGGGTGGTGGAAGCGGCGCTGCCTGCTCCTGCCTGCCGCCTCCTTTCTTTCTCCTCGCCGCCGCTCTGTGCTCGCGGTGCGGGGTGTCTGGGGGCGGGGTGAGGCCCGAGGCCGCGGCGAGGGGCGGGGAGGCCGCCTCGCTCCCCCTTCTCTGGGGCCGGACCCGCCGAACCGGCCGCCGCTCGCGCTGCCGTGGGAGCACCGGGGGGGAGGGAAGTTACAATGTAGCAACGTCCCGCGGGGCGGGGCCTCGCCCTCATTCACTCCGGCTCCTCCGGCGGCCGCGGCCAATGGGAGCTCGCCGAGCGCCCAGACATCCGCGGTGACGGCCAATGGGAGGCGGGCGCAGGTTCCCCACGTGGCCCGGTGGGCGGGGCGGCCCGGCCGGATTCCTCCCGCCCACGCGGCCGCGCGGGCCCCGCCCCGGCCCCGCCTCCCGCGCGCCCTCGCGCCGCGCCTGGAGCCATTCATAATCCCGGCGCACAACAAAGGGGCGCGGGGGGCTCGGGGGTCCGCCCGCCCTCCGGTGGTGCCGGGGAGCCGGTGGGGCTGGCGTGCGAGGCCCTAGCTCCACGGAGATGTGGACGCGGGACACGGGCAGGCGCCGGTCCGGAGCGCCTCGGCGGGGGCGGTGAACGGCCCCCGCACCGGAGGAGGCCGCGGCGGGAGGTGACTGCCCGCGGGGCCGGGCGGGAGTTAGAATCCCCGGAGCCGAGTGACGCCGGGACACAGGGGCGGAAAGGGCGGGGGGGGAACACGCACAGTCACCCGCGGCCGGTCACACCCGCCCGGTCGCACGCACCCGCCCGGTCACCCTCCCGGTGACGCCGTTCTCGCTACGGGGGAACTGTCCCGGTGAGGGGTTGAGCCCCCTGTACCCACCCCAAGCACGCTCTTACCCCCCTAGTCCGCCAGCTGGAACCTCCACCCCAGAGGCCCCAGCCCCGCCTGCCGGTTCTCGGGGAGTGGAACGGACACCCCGGAGCCCCGGGGCCCCGTCCCGGCACCGGGAGCGGGGGGAGCTATGAGTCAGCAAAGCGCGGGCGCCCTCTGCCGGTCCCGCGGCGCCTCCTGCGCCCGGGGGGGCCGCGGGGGCCGCACCGGCGGCGCGCCGGCTTTACCGAGACACCGACTGGCCCTTACCGGGCGGCCCGGCCGCGCTGCGCCCCGGAGCCGCTGCTCCCACACCGGGATGGAGACCCCTGCCCGGACAGCCCCGTCCCCCCCAAAGAACGCCGGGTCTTGGGAGCGAGGAGCCGCTCCCAGGGACGCGGTGGGAGCACCGGGGTTCCGACAGCGGGAGCGGGGACAACCGATCCCGCTCCCGTTCCCCGGAGGCAGGCAAAGCTCCAGGTGACGGAGGACACGGAGGATCTCTGAGGGTGAGCAGAGCTCCGGGACAACCGAAGAGGGGTTCTGCCGTGAGTCCCCTCGGGAGCTCCGGGGAAGTGGGGCCATCCCTCCCGCTCCGGGGAAAGCAACCGAGAGAGTGCGGTCCCGGTCCGCGGATCCCCCCACCCACACCGACCCCGGCCCCCACCAGCCCGGCGCGGCTCTACTCACCGAACACGGCCCCGCGGATCCCGGCGCGGCGGGAGCTCAGCTGCCTCCGGTGGCAGGAAGAGGGAGAGAGACCCCAGAAACGTCCCGGGGGGAGGTGGTGGTGGGTGCGGTGTCACCTCCTGAGCGCTGCAGCCGGTCCGAGCGCAGCCCTGACGCGGAGCTGCCGGGGAGGTGCCCGAAGTTTTATCCCGCACCGCCCGGGGTGGAGCCTGGCGGGGGCAGGGACCGGTCTGGCCTCGGCAACGGCCCCGGCAACGGCCACGGCCCCTGCCCCGGCGGTACCGCACCTGCTCCCGCGGCGGGTCCCGGTCTTTGCCCCGGGGTCTCAGTTCTGTACCACGGGCCCCAGCCCCTCCTTCCGGATCCCGCTCCCGGGATCCCGACTCGCCGTTCTCTAATCTCGGTATCAGCCCACCGGGGGGTCTCAGCCCCTGCCGGGGTCCCGGCTCTGCCGCGGCTCCAGGAAGGGCAGGGACGACCTTCCCTCCACGGACCGCGGGGAGGGGACAGACCGGACACCTCTGCCCCTCTGCGTGCCCCGTGGGTCGGTCAGTCCGTGGGCAGGGAACGGGTGGGCTGAGTTCTCCTTCGGAGCCAAGCGTCAAAGCTGCTGCTGCTGCTGCCCGTGGAGACTCTCTGATGTCTAATAACAAGGCTGGACCATTCCTCCTATTCCCGCTGCCCAACCACCCGCTTCCCAACAAGGCCAAGACTTAACCAACCCTACAGGGCTTTAAAGCAAGGGAGGAACGGGCTGGTGGGCACCAGTTCCGGGGCGTGATGCCCCGGGTGCCACGGGGGAGAAGCTGCTTCCTCCCGGGCCAGCGGCTGCCCCGAGCACACAGGGAGGGTGCTGGGGAGACGCTGGTGACCTCAGGCTGCCTTGCTGGGTCTCTTCTTCGCAGACAATGCCCTGGCACACCAAGACACAAAGCAGCTGGAGGGGGGGGATGTGGTGGCCAGTCCACAGTAGGGAGACCCAACCCGTGACGCTGCAGCCAAGGGGGACTCTCTGAATCCCCAAAATTCTGCTGCCGTGTCCCTCCCGCCCGGCGTCCCCTGGGGTGTGTGCAGATGGCTGGGTGGGAGCGAGGCCCCTGGTGCAAGGCACAGAGCCGGGCTGGGAGGGAGCCTTTTGTTGCACAGCCCACGGCCCCCCGCCCGCCCCAGCCCCCTCCAAGCTCTGGGGGGAGATGAGCTCAGGCGGCTCCGACTCCGGCTCCTGCCATTGTTGTCCCTGGGAGAGGGGCCGGGGCAGGGATGCGCCATTGTTCTCCCCGGGCCTGCGAAGCCGCCCCTAGGGGGGCCACAACCCCAGCTGGCTGTGCAGGGTGAGGCCCTGGAGCAGCCAGGAGAGGGGACAGCCAGGGCCACAGGTTTGGCCCTGCCACAGCTCAGCCTTGTGCACCACGAGGGGCCATGGTGGGGACAAGGTGTCACCCCAGAGCCACTCCTGCAGGGAGCAGGGTCTGGCCGCCAGCTCCCAGCCCTTGATCTGTGGGGAGGGACAAGGGGACTTTGTGGCCAGGGCTGGGAGTGTAGCCTGGCTTGGGTTCTTTGGCAAAGCAGCCATGCCCCGAGGGCAGAGCATCTCCCCACATCCTGGCAGCCCTGAAGAGCCCCTTTCCCAGTCGCCACCCTCCTCACATGGCTCCATCTCCTTCCTGGGAGGAAGCTCATCTCCTCCAGCAATCCCATGACTCCAGGAGCTGGTGCTTTAGGAAGTGTGTGCACATTTCAGTATGGTTGAAGGTATCTGGTGCCTCCAGAGACACAAGCTGGGAGATCCCAGGATTCCCAGCAGCCTGGATTTTGTGTGTTTAGCTTATTGTGTTGCCCTGGGAATAAATCGTTAAAGATTACAGGCAGACTTGGGCATAATTGCTGCACAGCATCCGAGGCTCCTGCGTCTCCAGAGGGAGCGTTCTCCAAACCCCACATGGCTGAGCAGCTCGGGGAGAGACGATCCGACGAGCAAATACCTACACAAATCCTGCTGCAGGCCACACGCAGCTCCTGCAATCCTCTTAGCTAACCTGGGCCCTGGGATTAGCCCCCGCGGAGGCTCACGCAGCCGGGAGGGCGGCGCGGGCACGGGGCGGAGGAGAGGGGCTTACCCGGGTCCTGCCGGGACACTTCCCACGGGACACGTCCCGGTGTCACGGCAGAGCCGGGGCAGGACCGTGGTGTTGGTTCCTTTGCGCCCCAGCTCCAGCTGGGAGCCCCGAATCTTTTGGAGGTTGGTTCTTGGAAATCTTCTCCCTCGAAGGAAGGGAATTCCCAGCCCTCCTTCTTCGGGGAAATCCCCCACCAGCCCCGGGCAGCAGCTTTTCTCTTTTCTCTCTCTTTCCACCCCCTGCCCGCCACTCCTCCCTCTCTCCCCCCCCGCCCCTTTTGGGCTGAATTCTTGGCTGATTCCACATCTTTGGCAAACGGGGGATTTTTATCGCAAGTCTCTGCATTCCACTCGCAGGCGCGGGGTCATGGGATTAGGGCAGAGCTGACTCCGGCTCCGGAGCGGGCAGAGGAGGGAGAGGAGGGCAGAGGAGCGCAGAGGAGGGAGAGGAGGGCAGAGGGGGCGTTTCTCGCTCTGTGCCTGCAGAAGGAGCCGGGCTGCAGCCTGGGGCAGCCCAAGCGGGGACGGGGATCCTTTTCCTCCCTCAGCCCTCCGCCTGGGGAAGGGAGCGTGGCTGGCAAGGGACTCCCAGGCCCGCGGTGCCCGGCTGGGGCCTGGCACGGAGCTGCCGCAGCGAGTGGGAGCGTTCCCACGGGCACGGGGCCAGCGGCCGGGAGGGATCGTGCGGGGCACACCCCGGCAGGAGGGCGCAGCCGAACCGCTGCACCTCCGCCCGGCCCAGCCCACCGGGAGCGGTGGGAGCGGGGCCGGGCTGGGGGTCCCGGGGGTCCGCTGAGCCCCGCGGGGGTCGAGGGGCTCGGCCCCGCTCACGGTGGCAGCGGTGACCGTGCCCAGGTGAGCCACCGCTGCTGCCCTGAGGAAGGAGCTGCTGATTCCACCCTCCCGGCACAACCCCGGGCACGGACCCCCGCCGGAGCCCCCCATCCCTCCGGGGGTCCCCCCATCCCTCCGGGGGTCCCCCATCCCTCCGGGCTCGGGGCGGCCCCGTGGCGGGCGCGGATGTCCTTGGGCAGGACGGCGGTGCCCGTGCCCGTGACGCTGGCGGGGCTGTAAACACCCAGGCGTGTCCTTAGAAACACAACCGGCTCTGTGTGTTCCCAGCTCTCGGGGACGTGTCCCGGTGGCCTTTGGCAGAGACTGTCCAGGCGTCACAGCCTGGGGACACTGCAGCTGCCAGCCCGATGCAGCCGGAGCCACTGGCCCTGCCTGGCCTTACTTGCCATGCCCTGGCTCTGGGGCACCCCACACTCGTGGGGCTCTGCCCCCCACCCTGGCCTTGGGCCTGGAGAGTGCCAGGGGTGAAGTCACCCCTGGAATGAACTCAGGCAGCCCCCCTTGGGGCTGGGCATACGGTGAGCAGGGAATGGATGGCTCAGGTCAGACCCTTGGTGACTCAGCTCTCGTGGGGGGCTGAGGCTGGG